CAAAACGACAGACTGATCAGACTTTTTTTGTTTTTTGCAAGACCTCTATCCTGGTGGTGGTAGGAGAACCACCGGGATCGAGGCTTTGCCTAGCGGGCCGCCCCATCTATTGGTGGGGAGCAGCACCTGCTGGAAACCGGGTCCAGCGTCCCTTAAGTACATCATTGCAAAACAACACCTCAATGCAGTGGCGTCAATGTGCTGGAAACTGGGTCCAGCGTCCCATACTCAATCTACTCTTCCCTTCCTACCTGCCCCACACATCTATAATAGTCAGAGTGTGCAAGTGTTTGGAAACCACTGAAACAAACTTGGAACATCTGAACCAACTGCAAAAAAGGAAGGAATGGAGGAAACAGCCGGGCTGAAAAACCAGGCTGAACTGGGCTGAACCAGGCTGCTCGAAGCTGCACGGTGATCTGCTGTCGTGCAACAAGGAGCAACAGAAAATAGGCTGAGACACCTGGCTGCTCTAGGCTGCGCTGAGATCTGCTGCCGTGCAACACCCGGTTGGATTAGGCTGTTCAGAGCTGCGCTGACTTCCCTCCTGCTCTAAGCTGCGCTGAGCTCTTCTGCACAGCTGAAGTATGTGGAGACGTTCCGGATGCTTTTCAGTCCGAGCTTATGCAGGCGACAGGATTTCTGCTAGGGACAGCGGATGGGGTGGGAATGGATCTGCGAAGTCCTGGGCGGGACGTAACGGGGAGCCGGGGTCTATCTTGGTCCAGTCGTGAAAGATCAACTGATAATCCCTTATTATTTCTGCCCGGGGTTCCCCTCGTGCTTCTCTCTGTTTGGCGACCGGTCCACTTTACTGCTGCCACCCATCCCTCCCTTTCCCCCCCCAGCCAGTCCCTGCAGAAGGTAGCAATGACCCGGTTCATGTCACCCCAGGAGGACGTTTGGTCGAGCTTGTCTTTAGTTTTCTTCCATTGTGCCGCCAGCTCAAATTGAATCAACGTCCGAATTTGATCCATCGCCTCTCCGTCTTTCACCCATGCTCCCTCTAGCTCCAAACAACATCTTCTCCAACATATAGTCCATAGCACACTCCGTCTGCCCAGATTGAACATGTTCTCCTCAAATATCTTCCCCCATATTGGAGGGAAATGTCCCAAGAGTATGGCCCTCCACTCCCGGCGCAGTACATCTCCTCAAATATCTTCCCCCGTATTGGAGGGAAATGTCCCAAGAGTATGGCCCTCCACTCCCATGGCCATACTGCGCCGGGAACTATGTGTCGCCAGATTCTATCCCAACTTCTCCACAGTAGTACCGATGCGGGACATTGGAGGAAAATGTGTTCAATGGTTTCGGCCCGTCTCCCCCCCGGGAAAGTTTGGAGACATCGGTGACACCATGGCAGTGCCTTCCCTTGTTGCTCCAGGTGGGTGTGGTCTATCAGCCAGTCCTTTGTTGGTTGACACCTATGTTCTATTTGCCATTGGAGGGCGGAGATCTTGGCGGGTCGTTTGTTGTTCTGAGCAAACCAGCGTATGGGCTTCAGTAGATAGCAACTTATTGGGGTGGTTTGTGAATAACCCTCGTTCTCACTCTTCCACCCTAGCAGAAGGGGTTCTGATCTGAAATCTTCAGCGTTGCCTAACAGAATCAAGCTCTTCCCTGAACAGTGAAGTCGAACTTCCGCTAGGCCAACCATAGTTCTGGATGTGCTTGCTTCGTACTTGCATCTCAGTTTTGGACGAATCCGACCGCAATCACGTCCAAAAGTAAGATGCAAAAATTCGCCCTGTGAGCAACGAAACTTTTTTTCTTTTCTTTTTCTTTTTCGCTTAGCTTTCTTGTCATATTCGGTAGCTGAGGGCCTACTAAATGTGCAAAATGAGAATGAATCTTCCTCAGGAACATGGAAAGATACACATTGTCTTTTGTGCACGTGGTGAGCTTGGATGTAGAAGTGCTAAGATGGGCCTCGATCCACTACTCACGGCACAAAAGACAAAAAGTTATGGCTTATCTGCCCACGTTCAAGGAGAAGATTCAAGGCGTCGTTGCACTACTCGCGAAATGTACAAAACGAGAGTGAATCTTGCGCTAGAAAGGGATAGGGGAGCATGGATAGCAAAAGTGGAATGGGGGGGGGATAAGGATGAACGGCAACCACGGGAGATAATGGAATACAGGGACTATCACCCGATTTTCAATGGCTGGATAACTATAGAACCCACTTTCCCAATGCGCCACCCATCCGACTTCCCGGACCCCTTCCCTCCACACCTACTCGCCCTGGTTGAGGCAAGGACGGTCTGAGTTTTCTCTTTTTTATCCTTTTCTCCTCTCTTTCCTTTTTCCCTTTCTTTTCTCTCCTTTTTTCTTCCTTTTCCTTTTGTCTTTTCTTTTTTTGCCCTTTTCCTTTTTCCTTTTTCTGGTCCTTTTTATTTTTATTTTTAGACGTCCGCCCTCTCTCCTCAAAAGGAGTTAAGATCATACCTTTTTGAGTCAAAAATCGCACTTCTACAACGGTTAAATTTCTCATTTTCCCCATGCCCTGAGATTTCCCGGCCTCCGGCGCCCCTTCGGAGACCGTGTACCACTCGAGAGGCGCGCACGATAATACAACAATGGTGGAACAGGTTTGTTTGATTATGTGTGTGTAACAGGTGAGAAGCCTCAACACGTCATGCACAGGTACTCAGTCAACACGAGCGTAGTACGGAATACCACACACAAGTAGTCAAAGTACGTAAAGCAACGTGATTACAAAAGCGAATAACGCGATTACAAACGCGAATCAACAACAACTGAAAGTCAACAACCCGGTGGGTTTGGCTACCCCGACCGGTTTCGACCGCAGCCACGCGGTCGTCCTCAGGGGGCTTTTTCCACCTCGTCTTCTTCCTCCACCAACCTACCGGCATCGTCCTGTCTCCTACCAATCATGGCAGGCTTGTCCGACACCGGGCCCACAAAGGATTGTAAACAGCTCAATGATTGTTGATATAGTACTGAGATTGTCGCAGGTTACCATCGAACTACTTCTACCTTCCATAAGAACAGCCTGTTCCTCGGCCTCCGTTGTCGGAACCTGGTACCGGAAGAATGGTACTACTTCCAAAAAAAGCAACCGGAAAAGAATAGTAGCCGTTAATTCATTAAAAGAACTAAAGAAAAAAACAAAAATATGAAAAAATAGTTCTCCCAATGCGAACTCCGATTAAACCCTGTCCCTAGATTAAAACCCTGTCCCTAGATTAAACTCATGTCCCTAGATGTACGACACAGCGTCATTAACGCTCCGTCCTAACAAAAAAGATAGTTCTCCAATGTTCGAAGCCGGATGTTCGCGCCAAGCACTCCGTGCGTCACACTGCTAATTTCAATCATCAGTCAATCTGCTAAAATCTGCATCTAGCATCCGCTTTCTTTCTCCCACACCATCATTTACATCACCTTCATCGTCTTGTAATTACTCTACGGACTGAAAAATACATCGTTGGACAGCCATGTCCAAATGTGGTTCTAAATGGGCTCTCTGCCTGTTGCAAATCTCTTCAGAACACGGAGAAAGAATTATGTGGGGAAATCCATCAGTCTCAATTCTCGGCTCAAGGTAAGTACCCTGTCGGAGTTATGTGGGGAAATCCATCAGTCTCAATTCTCGGCTCAAGGTAAGTACCCTGTCGGGTAACTCACTCCTCACCGTCGTGTTTCTGTCAATTCTGTGTAGGCGGCTAGCTATTACAGCGCTCTTGTGCGCTTTGCTTACCCACGATCTGTAGCTCTGTCCATTTTTGAACTCGAGCTCGTCGTCCGTCCACACTGACAGCTCGATTTTGGACATCTGAACACATCCAACATACGAATATACATTCCGTAGTCGCATCTCCAGACCCAAGAACTCCCATCTGCCACTGTCGTCGTCTGTCATTTTGAGGGTTAGATTACTTGGATAACAGTGTTCGAAGAGTTCCCTTATTCTGGTCCCGTTCCCATCATCGCCCTTCTTAGTCACAATCACCAAACTGACATCGTCTATCAACCTATCAACCTAATACCGAAAACATTGGCGCGTGCTCGCCCCAAACTCAAAAGGAAATTGAAGTCAGCGTGAGCACACATGATGCATGCCAAAGGTGGACTCATGCTTTTCCCCATGGGAATGTCGACCTCCTGCTTCAGGATTACACCCGTTGCCGTGGTGTAGGTGTGCTTCATGTCAAATTCAACGAACCGCCTTAGTGTCTCCAACTCAATGGACCGCCAATGGTCTGCTCCAGTCGGTCGTCCAAAACTGCTTCCTCGTCCACGTGGGTTCACTCTCACCGTCACCTTGCCTTTCGAGATGAAGTAGTCAATGATCCAGTTCACTGCTTCCATGATTTTCTCATGTGGCAGTTTACTGAACATGTTCTTGATGTCATACGGCATCGAGGAGACATGTCGATCTTCCGTCCATACTTGCTGAATGTTCTTATTCATCTTGTCGATTCGCGGTACGATATCGGATACCGCCTTCATGTTGAAGTGTCATGCTTTGGTTGGACAGAAGCCCGGTCGAGAGTGCCTTCTTCTCCAACTTGACAAAGCTCTTCAGCCTGTATGCCTCGACATCCGCCTTCATTTCCGCGAAGATCGAAGTCTCATCATTGACCATGATCCGATAGCCCCCGTTACAGACGAACGTGGACATCATCGCTTCATGGTACACAAGCGGGCAGAGTACCAAAGTCTCTCCCATATTCCTATCTAGAGGCGTACAGACCAACCCATCCAATCGTTCTCGTAACTCCTTCACCGTATCCAGCTCCAAGTACTTCGTATCAGTGTTCCCTTTGCTCATCAAGCAACCTTCAGCTTTGCTCTGAGACACGTGAATACTCTTCACCCCTCAATTTGGTCTCGATTCATGTCGACTCATCAGTCATGTCATGTTGAGCTATTGACGAACCTACTCTTCGAGCTACTGACGAGCCTTCTATTGACTATTCTCCTACCATCGCCGAGGACGGCACTGTCGAGTCTTGCTCTTGTGATTGGTCGATAGCCTTCTACTCCCGTCAGCTCCTTCCCGCCGAGATAAACTACATCGTTGATGAACGTGAGGTTCTCGCAGTAGTTAATGTCACTCGGCACTGGCGTCACTACCTGCGCGGGGCACCGTTCACGGTGCGCACGAACAACTCTGTTGTCCAGGCTTTTCTGACAAAGCCGAAGCTCACTCCTCGACAGGCTCGCTGGTGGCACGACCTATCCGAGTTTAGTTTCACCACTGAGCACATCAAGGGTGAGACTAATCGGTCGCAAATGCCTTATCTCGGTGCCCTGACCACGACCAGAAGCAAATCCAGCTCTCTTCCATCTCAGTCACCACCGTCCACCACTCGGTGATCGACGAGTTTCGCACTCAATACCGCCATTGCCCCGACTATCGCGACATCCACGCGACCCTTCGGAGTGGCAAGACCGTCCCGAACTACTCTCTCGGGGACAACGGTCTTGTGTACTGGCACGGTTCACAGGGCACTAGAGAGCCCCGCATTTGCGTTCCCTCCACTGGACAACTATGTGTCCAGACAGTAAAGAGAGTTCCATGACCAGGCAGTCGTCGGTCATATGGGCTTCCACAAGACGTTGGCTCGTGTGAGCCGCCTGTACGTCTGGCCGAAGCGCAAGGACTCTGTGAAGGACTACGTCGCAGAGTGTCCCACATGTCAGGAGGTGAACAGTGTGAACCACTTGCCTTATAGTTTGTTTCAGCCTCTTCCTATCCCTGAGGGTCGTTGGCAGTCCATCTCGATGGACTTTATCGTCCCTCTTCGTCCTCCCACCCCCGCGGTCATGATGCTATCCTGGTCGTCGTTGACCGCTTCACGAAGCGTGCACGCTTTGTTCTGTGCCGCTATGCCATCAGTGCACGTGAGGTCGCCGGCATTGTGTTTGACCGAGTCGTTCGTTACCACGGCTTACCTCTGAGCATCATATCTGACCATGACCCGCGCTTTACACGTCGATTCTGGCGACGGCTCCACGAGGTGTACGACACTCAGCTTTGCTTCTCCTCGTCTTACCTTCCTCAGACTGATGGTCAGACCGAGATCACGAACAGGACTCTCGGAGATATTCTCCGAAAGATTGTTCGTGACGACCAGCAGTGGGATCTCCATCTTGCCCCCGCGGAGATAGCCTACAACCACGCCGTCTCGCCAACCACGGGGATGTCGCCTTACTATTGCGACCTCAGCTATCACCCTCATGTTCCCGCGGACTTCCTTCGACCGTCACAGATGCACCCCGACACGAGTTGTCCCGCGCTGGATGATTGGGTTGCACACATGACGTCGATCACGAAGACCGCACATGAGCACATGGCAGCACGTGCGAACCGATCGAGGATGGACCATCCATTCAAAGTCGGTGATGATGTGCTTGTCGACGCCCGCCACTTACAGCTCGACTCGGAAGCGGACACGCTTCGCAAGTTTCGGCGTCGCTTCTTTGGCCCATGCTGCATCCTCCAGGTCGTCGGTTCTGATACAGCTTCTAGCCCGGTCAGCTTCCGTGTGAAGCTGCCCGACTACCTACGCCAGACTCGTGTGCACGATGTCTACCACGTCTCGTTACTGCGTCCTTACCGCAGACTGTCTGAGCGTTTCGCTAGACGACCATACGAGCGTCCTCCACCCATCATGGTGGACAGCCACGAGGAGTTCCTCGTTTCAGACATCATTGGTCGCCGAGTCACCGACAACAACCCCCGTCATGTCGAGTATCTCGTACGTTGGAAGGGTTACCCTGATGAGGAGGCTACCTGGAAGCCTCTTGAGCACTTGCAGCACGCTTGCATGTTGGTGCGTGCTTATGATCTTGCTTACCGTGCAGGGTTCACTGCTCCTCCTCAGCCCACTGACCCTCCTCCTTCTCCCCCGGTTGAGGAGACCGCTGAAGTCGAGCCTGCTCCATCTGAGGCAGACCTTTAGCAGCAGCCGGATGTTTCTTAGCGTCCACAGCGCACTCGTCGTCGTCCTGCTCGATACGATAATTGGCTCTGACTTACCTTCCCACGTCTTTGACTTCGCAGTACTCCATCCACATCAGTTTTGCTACTTCAGCTCGTCGACGTTGCGACTCTTCCTCGACGACATTCCGGACTTCTCATCATGGACGTCATCGGTAGCTTCATGGACTTCGTCACGACCAGCTCTGCCTACTTCAGACGTCATCACTCTCTTACCTCTTTACCCTGTACAGTACCCTTGTTGTGTCGCATGATGGTCTCCCTTTAGCCGGGTTCCTCTGAGTTGGACTCTCCCTTGGTATACGCATAGGCATCAGGACCGTAGCGTTGCCCTGGCTTCCCATCTTACGGATCTAGCTCCGACTTCCCTCACTTTAGGAGTCATTTGCATGACTCCCTTACCCATCACCTTTCTACCCTCTGTCGGCCCTCATGCCCTAGTTAGGCAGCCCCGCATGCTTCATCTAGGTGCGCCCAGTATACCATGCTCCCTTGTTCCCTTGCGTGGTCGGCCCTCCATAGCGGTCAACCCTTTAGTCGAGCATTACCCGCCCTGATGGTCTATCTGTTAGGGTCATTGGTTATGTTCGCTCCCAGTTCCCTACCCTCATTGAGCCTGATGACATGTATTCCCCCTGTCACTATGTGTGGATGCCCTTAGGAGTTTTCGACCCCTAGGCTACATTCGCCACCCTCAGAGACCATCCCACCCTTTGGTTTGCGACACACTTCTCTTGTGACATATGGTTGACTTGTTGTTGCTTGTTGCTCTTAGACTGAGGCTACTGTCTCTGACATTTTTAGGATTTAGTTGTTCTGCTTTTGTTGTTCTTAGGACTTGTACGCTAGTCAGTTGTTCCGAGACTGAGGCTAGTGCCTCCAATATTCTAGGATCTAATTGTCATTACTTTCTGCTTTCCTAGGACATGTATGCTAGTTAGTTGCTTTGCTTTCAATTAGGCTGTTAGTTGTGACATTGCTTTTTTTGTGATATTTTCTATTCTAGGTTGCATCGCATGGACTCAACATGGAGCTTGCTCCGCATCCTAGACTACTCAGGTTTTCTTTTCTTTGGTAGAGTTTCGCTTCTTGGCGGAAGCGTGCAGGCCGAGGATCGTGTAGCAGACCTCAGGTGGGCCTGTGAGACCAGCCCCTTGGCCTGTTCTCACAGGCCTGTGTTTTATTCGGGGCAGTCCAGTCTACGCCGGTACCTCTGTCGGTACCCGCCAGTCCAGTCCAGTCCTGTCAGTCCGCTGGGGTATACCCCAGCCGTTGTTTGTTTTCGGGATCATTCTACACTTGCACGATTTTGGAGTACGTGCGTTGGAGTCTTACGTGGGAGTTGCGTTGTGCCATCTCGCTCCTCCCTCATCCTCCATCTCTATCTGTATCTGTATCCCAGGCGGAGCACCTTCCCGGTGGGTCCGCTACACCCAGCCAGTCGCTTCCTTGATTGTTCGTGATAGTATCCTACGTAGGTAGGATCTTGTTGACTTCTTCTGAAAACCTTTCGTCCCTCGGTATAGTCGGAATAGTACAATTGCATCCTTTTTTATCCACTCCTCGATCCATGTCGGATTGCGTAAGATCTTGATGAGTTCGCGTTTGTCCTGTATTCCTTTTGGATGCCAACGTCGTAGGTACTGCACCATACATGTACCTCCCTCTTCCAAAGCTTGTTTGGACTTTGAAAGTGTCGACGTTGTACCTTGCCACGTCACTGGTGACTGGTGTCGTGCCAAATGCTCTGCTGATCTTCTTCCATCCATCTAACCAGACGTAACGGTTGCCTCGTGCGGATTTAAGCGTAAACTTATGCACTCCCTGCTTCTCGAGTTCGGCAAGCATGTTAAACACCTTCACCTCCTCGACTGCGTTACCAACTTGGATCTTGACAGGCACCATGCTTCCTCCCTGTTGCTCACGGATCTCACCATGCAAACCCCGTTTTCTCTCCCTTTTACCAGACCGCTTTTTGTTATGTCTCTTCCGCTTCCGTCGCATATCATTGGTGTTCAGTGTCAGATTCCATCGCTGTATGTACAGTTGTTCGTACGCGATTAGCTCCCCATCCTTACATGCCTCGACCGGTACTAAAACATAGGACTCCCTTCCAAAGCACTGCCACCAGTGGTAAAGATGCGTATCTTTGCTTCGACGATCACAGCGCGATATATGTTGGCGCCATCTCACGTCGACACTTCTGCAAGTTTGCCCCACGTATTGCACCTTACATACAGGTGAGGCTAATATGTATACCACACTAGCAGAATCGACAAACTCAACCCCTAGTTTATTGTACATCCGAACCCATGATTCCCCACACTTTGTCAGCCACTTAACCTGGCCACTAATTGCCAACAGGATTAATGTCAAGCGATACAGTCTCTCAATTCTTTTAGCGAAAGCGTGTTCCCGTCGAAACTCTATCAAAGCCTTACACAAAGACCACAATCCACAAACAATCAATCTCCCGCTCGGTTCATGCGTCATTATCCGAGTCTGTCTGAGCGTCGATGTCCTCCTGATCGATGCCCCCGACTTCAGCTTCTCTTTCCGCAACAACTTGAATTCGGTTGTCATATGCTTCAGCCGCTCTGTTCTCCGCGATGTTGGCCACAACAACAATTTTATTCTCGTATTCCACTTCTTCCTTCCTGCAAATGTCTTCAAGTTCGTCTGCTCCGAACTCTGCCAGCACTTTGATGTTCTCACATATGAATTTCGCCTTACCGTCAGTACCCAAAGCTGCAGTGATCTTTGTCCGTGGTGTACCGCGCCGCGGAGTGTAGTGAGGAGGTGGAATCTTCTTCTTGTCAGCCTTCTTCGTCGTGTGTTGTAGTTTTGCCGCAAGGTTGACAGGCCGCACCTGAGTGGTGCGTGGTGTTCGTTTCGCAGGTTGCGTCACCGGTGGGCTGCTCCCGACGGCCTTCTCCGCGCTTCGCTTGCGTTTCTCTGATATTTTGCCAAACACCTTGTTCGTCGTCGGAGCGTTTCCACGTCGCTTGCGCTACTGCTGTCTGATGTCGATCCTCCCGGTGATGGTGGTGTAATTGCTGGCTCTTTGCCCTTCCCGCTCGGAAAAATCGAGGTCACCGCTCATCGTAATTCTTCCTTGATGTTTTCACGTCAGTCTTCAGTCATGACCTCTTGCAACTCCCCGTCGACTAGAGCCGCTTCCATCCTCATTTCCTTCCTCATTTGCATGCGAAGCTCCTCCGCTTCCCTTGCTTCAATGCGGCTTTCTTCTCTTTTGCCGCTTGTTCTTCTTCTGCTTGTTTTTGACGCTCCGCTTTTTCAAGTCTCCTCCTCTCCTTCTCCGCCTTCTTCCGATTCTCGACTTCGATGTGTCCCTGCATGGAGGCTATTGATGCACCCAAGTCTTCAATCTGTCGTCGTAACTTCACCCGTCTGGGTGATTCTTCGCCGCCGCTGCTCCTTGGTTGAAACCGTGTTTCTCCCTGACGTGAGCTGCCCTCTCCCGTTTGTTTCCAACATTGATTCCGATAGTGCCCCACCTGTCCACAGTTGTAACAACTCGGTGGTCCTCGTCTTCGGTGTTCTCCCGATCCATAACCCCGCTCGCGTATCCCTTCACGTCCATCATCTTGGTGGTACTCCCTCCCAGCGCTCCGGTAGCCGTCTCGCCTCTCTTCACGTCGAGCATCGTGTCTTCTGTCTCGGCGCTCTCGTTCACCTTCGCGCTCGGTCTCCCAATAGCCTCGATTAGCCATTCCGTCAAGCGCCAAAGATGTAACTGGTGCTGACCGCTGCTCCTAACTTCGAAAGTAACTTGCTTGTACTCGTAGATTGTTCACTCCACTAGAAGAGAAACGAAAAGTGAGGAAAGATGCACCATAACCAAATACATGCTCACACAATCTTGGGCAAATGATCCGCAAATCGTAATCCGAGTAGGTTCACATGCGCCAAATCAGGTGGAACAGGACAGATCCCCCGGAAGATCAGCGGCAAAGTTAACCCTCCGGTTTACCGGAGTAGTCAATGCTGGCAGCCAAGACTCTTACTGTTTTCTTTACTCATTCCTGGCTTTCTTCTCAATGTGCAAAAGGGACGCTGGACCTGTTTTCCAGCAGGTGAGGCTCCCCACCAATAGACCTGGAGCATTTTGTAAAAAAAAAAAAAAAAAAGATTAAATGTCTGCCTGAGAGGCTACATCGCGGCGGCACTACGGAGGCAGTGGGAGAGCGTCCGTCAGTCGTGGGAACGCTACTTGCTTGGAGGAAGCAAACTTGAAGTGTACCCATGGTGATCTTGGTTCTTTGAATGTTGATGCCAATGAAGATCCAAGGGTGTGTGGTGGGAAACCCATCTAGGCAGTTCAGGCTTCCTTGAGTTTACAGATAGGAACTTGCTCTCTTTTCTGTAAGATCTTGAAGCGAAGTTGGGTAAGGCTCCCAGATAGATTAGCAGGAGACTTTGGATATGAATTCTTCATGGGACGCTGGACCCGGTTTTCAGCACAAGCTTCACTCCCGGGTTGAGATGTTGAGTGATTCCTGGCCGCATTTGATTACTTTTATAATATAATCTGCAACTTGTTAAAAAAAAAAAAAAAAAGTTGCTCAGCTAAAAAAAAAAAAAAAGTAAAAAAAGTGTGGCGAGGCCCTGATCGCCTGGAGCGGGCAGCCATGGTTGTCCTGACGGAACGAGGCTAGTACCTCCCCTCCCATCCTCACGTCAATACTCCTAGCGCACCCCCTATCCCTACTATCCTACCTCAGTGTGACCAGCACTCAGGACCATTATCCTACTAGTGTCGAGGGAACTTGGACCAACCAGTCAGGATTGTCACTCTCCTGTCATCTCAATGGGGGTGACCTGCCTGGACAGTGGT